ATACTAAAAGATAGTAGTAAGTCTCGATATTCTCTCTTTCAGAGCAATTAAGGATGCACCTGTTTATATGTCATCGTCATCGCAACACTCATTTCACACCTTCTATCAAATGTGTCACGTAATGGAGAACGGTCTGTGGTATAAGGCGGCTTTCGAAAAGAACTTTATGCTGCCCGGTTGCCACTACACAGACAATCGTTTCGTATATAAATTTATTGTAAGTTTTGAAATTCAGGTGTAGGCAATTTTTAGCGACTACTATGAAGACATATTTGATTTTCAAATCTCTACAGGTGTTTACTAAGCAGATATTGCCTGCCATGTTGGCGGATGGCCTAATAAAGCTCTCCGGGCGTAAACCAATACTTATGGGCATTGTACGTAAAGCCTACATCTCACTGGAGGTAATGAAACCCTTCCTCTTTAATACCTACGATAGTCCGGGTATGTCTCATGAAGATGATTTGATTGCGGCTACAGAAGGGTTAGTCTTGCGAGCTATGCAAACTTAAAAAAAAAAAAATATTTTGTAAGCAATATAAAACTTTTCAAACTGATTACAGCACCGAATTCGATCTGATACAAGATGTGTCACGTGCCAAAACCGATGAAGGATTGATTGACATTTGTACAACCATGATTTTCTCCATACGTGAATATTTACTAAATGAAGAACCAAAAACTATTCCAATTGCACAGAAGCGCTTACGCATGTATGTGTGGATAGTCTACTACTATACAGTACTGTTCAGATAAAAGTTACCACTGCATTAGTGGTGGCAGAATATTTTACTTCGGTTGATTTAATGTCTAATACAACAAACACCATATAAATCCACATTTTAAATCGTGTACAGAAGTTATACAAGCTCAACAAATTTTCACCAAAATTTCAATGCTTTTATTCAGAACTTTAGAAGATTTTTTGGTATACAGTTTTATAGCCCAGTAATTCTCTTGCATATACTTTTATTAAAAAAAAATAACATTAAGCAATCCAAAGAAATATATTCTGCCACCAGTATATGCAGTGGTACTTTTTTCTGAACACTACTGTATAAATATTATAATTGAAATATTTTTCTCACATACATAAATTTTTGTATTCCACTTTAGTAAACGCTTGGTCTACAACATTCTACGTGCGATTGTCGCTTATTACATACTGCGTTGGTTCTACGGCCTACTGGTTAGCTATATATATTGAAGGAAATGCATAAGTGCTGATATAGTATATGGAACTGTCATTTTATAAGTTTAATTTTTCTAAGAAAACCTACACTTCTTACAAACTTTAATCTGAAAGATTTTTTTCTTCGAGGACTTCATAATTTGCGTGTTAAGTTTATTCGGTGCCACATCTTTAAACTCCTAACTTTGCGTGGTTTAAAGTAGGCATAATAATAATTTCGGGAATGCTTGGTACAAAAAATACAGTGCTAGGCTAACAAATTATAGAGAAAATTCTACATTTAGAATTTTAAAAAATATATTTTTTTGGTTCAATACAAGGCATATTGATAGGTAGTAATATTAGATCAACTGTTCTGATTTTTCCAAATTATTTGCCCTCTAAAATGTCAAATATTGTATATTATAATTTTTCCGCAAAAAATTAATTGGAAAAATGTATTTTGATGCAAACCTTTGTTCATAAAAAGTAGCGATTAAAAACCATATTTTGCAACGTTCGCTTTACTCAAAAGTACAAACGCTGATTATTGGTCCTTAAAAGAATGGATACATTTTCTGGGAGCAAAAAAAAATCACCAAGAAAGAAAGTTGCACAACTTTTTTATTTCAATATTTTTTTTTAATTTTTTTATATTTCGTTTTTTCAAACTTTAAATACCACAAGCAAAAAGAAAGTACACGTAAATGTTATTTGTGCTCTAATGCTATTACCTGTTTCATATTCCTTGATTGAATATCTAATGCCGAATTTCCACTAGGCATTGAAATGATGAATAATGGGTGCGTTAATGTCTAGTGGAAATCCGGCATTACGGTTGTCGTAATCTACTACTAACAATAATAGTAGTAAATAAATACATTCAGAAGGGAGAATAACCTATCCGGTAGCTTCAAGGAATTCTTTAAGTCAGACAACTAAGCTCTGGCGTTACATTGGGTAAGCACTAGGGTATTCGATTATTCGCCTTTCCGAAACCGGTTTTCGAGTTATTCGCAAAATTGAAATTTGAAAAAAGTTCCCGAATTTGAAATTAAGAAAAATCCAGATAAACTGGTTTTATTTTGCATAGTTTTCATACAGTGAAAATGCTTATGTTGGTATGAAGTCATGACTAAAAATTACAATAAAACTATTAACAGTAAAGATAGCTTTTATTAAAAAAAGAGGAAAGCAAAAGAAGTTCAAAGTTTTTTATATCAAAAGTAAAACAACTAAAAATCAGTGAAAAATTCACGTTTTGTATTTTTTTAATTTTTGAATACTTCATTGCATATTTTCGGGCTTATTTCGGATTCGAGTAGTGCTCTTGCCGCCGTAGCCGAGTGCTTAAATGTGCTTATTGCCGCACGGAGGTCCGTGTTTCAATTTCTGGTCCCATCAACAGCAAAAAAAAATACTTCGGAGGTGGAGTAAAAATGCTGAATTTGAGGAAAAGCTCGATCAAGCTCGTAGAAAACGTTTAATCGTCAAACATTCGTTTATTGGAATCAAGTATGATACACTGTTCATCCTTAAATAACCTAGGATATAATTTTAAAACTATTTAGGGGTTTCCCTCATCGGATTGGCAGCCTTTCATATCGGATAGTCAGCCTTTCTGTCGTCTACCCAAGGGCTATACGGCAGAGCTTCCAAGAAATTGGGGGAACACTTAGTTTCCAGCCCAGTGGCGCATGTCACAAGGTAAAAGGCAACTCTGGAGATTTTAAACGGCGAATAAGCAGTCGTAGACTTATACTCCTCAGAGAACGAAAATCTCATCTATCCAGAACCTAGAACATGACACCCTCCAAAGTCCTGTACTTATTTGTATCAACTGTTCGTCCGTTTAGGCCCAGACCCAAAAACTTTGACGATTGCCTCTCTTCTTTGCGAGGTTGCGCCAGTTGTACCCCGAATTCATACAGGTTCTTCTGCACTTGCAATTTTTGAAAAAAAGTCAAAGAATTTTCGAAAATAAAACTCAAAATATTTACAAAAAAATTTAAAATTTCTTGCTTCTGGGGTATTCCATGAGTAAGTGAAACTTTGTGTCCAATTTTAGAGTAGCTTATTGAACATGGAATGCTTGATGATTCAATGCTCAATACCTGAAATTAACGTTTTTTCGAAAAAAAATTTAGTTATATTATTTTATTACACTGTAAATACACTCAAAACTTCAACATTAGAAAAGTAGTTGAATACGACAACATATTTTAATATAGAAGGCTCTGCAAAATCAAGTATTCACAAAGTTATTATTTTTTTGAAGGGGGGAATAAATGTCTCGATCTTTCTGCGCCCCGAAGAAGCAATATGGCATTGAAGAAAAATAGGCATTTAAATTATATAATAGGATAAAATCACTACGGTTTAGCATGTCCAACCCGTGACTAAAAAGTTTTAAACTTCGTATTGCTTAGTTACTACTTTAGGGAGTTTTCTATAATTTCATAACTAGAGTGTGTTTATA